TAAAAGGGCAGGCCGGGACAAGGGGTGGTAAGAAAACAAGGGGAACATCCTACACGAAGGCCCTATCGGGACCCACGTGGGGCCGGGGAAAAAGGAAGATGAGCACACAAGACCCAAGCGACGGGGCCCAAAGGGACAATAAAATTTTTGGGTTAATGCAGGATTCAAACAGCCAACTGAAAGTAGCAAGGGACAGCGGGGCCAGGAAAGACAGTCCACTGGGGAATAAAGTTTCAGATTTACAGGGATGAAGGCAAAAAACCATGCCCAAAGGAAGGAAATAAAAAACCCGAGGAAGAAGATGGAGACTCAGTGGGAGGGGGGAAAGGGGCCGAGGCCCAGCCCTTTGTGTAGGGTTCCAAGAAGCCAAGGGGGGCCCAATTTTTGGGGGGGAAATAAAACAGGGGGGAAAAAAAAAAATGTTTAAAAAGGCATCATAAAAACAAAGGGGAGGGAAAAAAGACCCGGGGTGAAAAATTTTTTAGAAATTTGGGGGGGTTTTGCGAGTGGAAGGTTTGGGCCCTGTCAGAGTAACTTTCAAGGAAAAAATCGTTCGTCAGGATTCTGAAAGAGAAAGAAAGATGAGGGACAAAGAGGGGCCCAGGGGATTTATCCCCTCGACCGCGCCCAAGAAACAAAAAAAAAGGACACACTAAAAGAGGGGGTTTACAGAGCGCAAGGGGGGAACGAGAAGAAATTAAAAAGGGAGCGGGAAACCCAGACACGGGGAAAGGGGGCAAACACACCCCCAAAAATCTCCCCCCCAAAAAGACCCCCCCCGCAACTTCCCAAAACGCAACTGAGAAAACCTTTACTACCCCACTAATTTTTCCCCTTGCCCCCAAACCCCAAATTCAAAAACCCAAACCTCCCCCAACCCGTGTCCCTTAGGGGAAATTTTTCCCCCCCCCCCCTTTCTCACATACCCCACCTCCCAACCACACCCCCCCTTGGGGCCCCCCCCAAAGGGGCTCTCGCCCCCCCCAAACCCCAAAAAAATTTTCCCTTGGGCATACCACAATGATAAAAAAGGGAAAACAAAAGGTTTGGTACAAAAACGCGGACGGAAAAAACGCTTAAACTTGAGGGGGGAAATTTGAAAGAATCAGTGAAAAATCCCCAGACTCTAGCAGTCACAAAAACAAAACCCCGCTGGACAAAAAACAGACACAATCTTCCCAAACAGGATAAAAAGATCCTGGGGAAAGATATAAGGAGTAGGGGGGAAGGAGGGGTTGCACTGTTTCCTAAAACCCAAGGGGGTTTTGGAGGAAATGGAAGGCATGGACTTGTTTGGGGAGAAAGAGACTAATTGTGGGTACAATTCAGTCCGGAGGAAAAAAAAAGTAGTCATTGGGTGATGTATAACCCCCCCAGAACTGCAGGAGGCCAAGGAGGAGTACAAAGAAAAAAACAGGGGGGATGGTGGACACCAAATGGCTGAGGTGGCAAAAAAGAGTCACTCGAGCAGAGCAAAAATTTTGGTAATGGGCGTTTTCAAAAACCCCAGGGGGGATCGATGGGAAAAAAACCCGGGGCCACATGGGGGTCCCGAAAAAATGGAGAGCCAAGATGTTGGGTGTGGACTGAAAACCTCATGCCAAACAACATGTCAGGGACACAACCAGAGAGAGAGGGGGGGGTGAGCCACCCAAGGGCTGGATCTTGTGTTCCCCCTGAGCGTTTCCCGAAAATCGAGGACATCCCCTTACGAGAGGCCCCTTTGGGGCAGCGACATGGTTTTTAGTTTTTACATTATAGTTTGAGTTCCCCGTTTGGGGGGGGAAAAAGGGGAAAAGAAAGGGGGGGGGCCAAACTAATAAAAGGGGGGCCCACACCCGGTTAAAGAGAAATTCCTGCAGGAGGTTTTAGTGGGGCAGAAAAAATGGTAGGTAGAAAAAACATAAACGAGTTTATGGGGAAAATGTGGCAACCCAAAATGCAAGGAGGCAGAGGAAAGTTTTTTTTCCCCAAAGGGAAAAAAAGGAAAAAAATGGAAGACCAAAACGATCCCCCTTGGGGTTTTCCCAAAGGGGGGTAAGGGGGGCAAAAACTAAGTGCAACAAAAGAATGGAAAAAGGGACAGGGGGCCAGGGGGCCCCGGAAAACAAGGAGATTAGTACAAGAGCCCGAAAGAGATGCGCAGATAAGGAGGGAGGCCCAGCGGGCATATGAAAAAGACATAGCATCGAAATCAAATCTGACCCCAAAAATGCTGGGTAGCCACATTAGGAGGGAAAAAAACAGTCAAGGGCCAGGGGATAAAGGGGAGGAAAAAAAAGGTGGGAGAAATCACAAGAAACGATCAAGAGGTAAAGTTTAGGAGTCAACACGAGATTTTAAAGGGAAATATTTACAAAAGAGCCCGGAAGGGGGCTCTGGGGGAAGACCAGGGTGGGACACCAAAAAAGGAAACACCAACAAGTGTTTTTACGACAATTTATACAGAAGAGGAAAGGGGGTGGGAAAAACTGCTAAGGGGGCAATCGAACCTCAAAAGGGAAAGGGGGCCGGACAACCCCCCCCTTCCCTGGGTTCCCCTTTGAGAGGGAGCAGATATTTGGCGTACCAAAATTACCACAATTTCCCAAAACATCCCCGAAAGGGGCAACAAACCCGAGGTATGGAAAAACGCCCAAAAGTAGTTCCCCTTTTCAAAAAAGGAGAAAAGAAAAGAGGCACTAAAAATTTTTACCCGTTTCATTGCGTGATAGTTTTGGGAAAATTTTGGGAAAATTATCGGAGGAGAGTGGTTTGGAAACACCTGGAAAAGGAACAGGAGTAAAAATTTCCCCAAACCCGCCCGGGTTCACGGAAAGGGAAATCCTGTGTCACAAACCTTCTGGAGTTTTTTTTGATAAAATAACAGAAGTAAGACAAGAGAGAGAGGGGTGGGGGGGGTTCATCTTCTTGGACTGCAAAAGGGTTTTTACACAGTTCCTCCAAGAGATTAGTTTCAGAAATAGAGCATCAGGCGCTTTTAAAGGAAGGGCAGCAATTTGGGTAAAAGAATTTCCCGGGCAGGGAGGGGAACAACGAGTAAAGGACGTAATGAAAGTACCCCAGGGGCCCCCTTGACGAGCGGGGTCCCCCAGGGGTCCCCTCCCTAGGCCAGTGCTATTTTGGTATATGTGAACGACAAAGACGGGAAAGGGGGGGACTCAGAAGTGTCCCCCCGGGTTTCAGATGATGTTTAAGTTAATGAGGAGAACTAAATTGATGAGGACCAGGCAGGACTTCAAAAAGACCTGGACAGGACCCGGCCCCCTGGTCCAGCAAATGGCTTCCCCAAATTTTTTTCCTGCCCAAAAAAAAAGTAAAGAAGATAGGGGAAAGGGCACAGAAGACCACAGACAGAGTTTAGGGGAGGGGGGCCAAAGACGCAAACCTCAAATCAAAGGGGAAAGATCTTTTGGGGGGAGTATAACACCCCCAGATGTCTCCCCCAAACCCCACATCAATCAGGGTTAAAATGCCGGGAGGGTTATGGGCGCCGGCAAAAACCCGGGGAACAGCATTCCGGCACCTTAGTAAAGGGAAACATTCAAAACACCGGGACAACCGTGGATGTCAGGCCCATACTGGGGGTATCAGCACCTGTTTGGAACCCGCACTTGATAAAAGCCGTCAAGAAACTAGGAAATACAAAGGTTTGCAACCCCAAAGGGGAGTTCCCCGGCCCAAGGGGAATGTTCCCAAAGAAGAAAGATTTAAAGGGGGAAAACGGCCCCCCCCCCGACGACACGAAGGGGCCAAAGGGGGCAGGGGAGAATGATAACGGGCATATAAAATACTGCCTGGAAAAGACAAGGTGGAAAAAGGGGCAGGATGGTTTTCCCGGGAAGGGGGCACCGAAAAAGAGGCCACAATTGGAAAAATTGAAGACACAAAAAGAGTAAAAGAATTTGTAGGAAGAAAATTTTCAAATAAGGTTGTAAAGGGAGTGGAAAAAGCCCAGAAAATGACGTAGTTTGGGGGGCAAAGGGAAACCCAACCCCATTTTTAAGGGCGGGTTTGATTTAAAACTCATGGAGCGGGGGGGGGAGAGAGGGTCTAGTAGGGAACCGGGGAAGAAAGGGGGCCCCCGGGCCAGGACCCAGGCTCGACCCCTGCAAACCCCAAAAAGGTGAGTACAAATAAAGGGGAGTACACCCACGCGTGACGGTCGAGGATTCCCGGCGGGCTACAAAGAGACCCGGTTCCCGACTAAAAGCCGGTCCCGCAGCTGACTACCGAATTTAACCCGGCCAATTTAAAAGTCATGAAGAGGCCCCGGGGGGGGCAAAGAAGACGCCGACAGAGTTTAAAACTAGGTAGCCAAAGACTGCAAGCCTCACGCAAGGAAAAGGATCTGTATGCATCACCAGTTTGGAAGTCACACCTGGTCAAGCACGTCAAGATATTATAAAAAGTGCAAAGGTGTGCAACAAGACTAGTTCAAGTGCTAAGGGGAATGCCCTACGAAGAAAGGTTAAAGAAAATCGGCCTGACTATACTGGAAGACAGGAAGGATAGGGGAAACATGATGACGACATACAAAATACTGCTAGGAATTAACAAGGTGGACAGAGACAGGGTGTTCCAGAGATGGGACACAGAAACAAGGGGGTCACAGTTTTAAGTTGAGGACTCAGATGAGTCTTAGAGATGTAAGGAAGTATTTCTTTAGTCATAGAATTGTCAGGAAATGGAAAAGTCTAGTAAGTGACGTAGTGGAGGCAGGAACCATACATAGCTTGAAGACGAGGTATGATAAAACTCATGGAGCTTGGAGAGAGAGGACCCAGTAATAGGTGAGTACATCCATGCCGAGAGAGAGAGAGAGAGAGAGAGAGAGAGAGAGAGAGAGAGAGAGAGAGAGAGAGAGAGAGAGAGAGAGAGAGAGAGAGAGAGAGAGAGAGAATAAAAACTTAATTATAAGTCTGGAATAGTAATAACTTTGAGCATGACAATACTAAAACTGCTTCTCAGCCTCTCAATGTTTGTTAATGTATTGACAGTTGCGCCACTGATCACTGTGCCCAACCAGCTGGTGGGTGCCCCGGTAGGCACCTCAGTGACCCTGGAGTGCCAGGTGGCAGCCTTCCCAAATGCTGTTCACTTCTGGCGATTTAACAATCAACTGCTGATCAACTCCAGCAGACAGGAGACTCAAGAGCTACGAGACGGCTACACCACCACCATGAAGCTTCTGCTGAGGAATTTGAGGCACAAGGAAGACTTCGGAACCTACGTCTGCACTGCCAAGAACTCCCTCGGAGAGACAGAAAGTAATGTAAGACTTTACGGTAAGTTCTTGATAAAATTATATATGCTTGACTATGGATAGTTGCTCTTGTTAAGAGTACGGGCGCGAGACGATCGTTGGAATTTTTTTGGTGAAATTATGGGCGTTAGAATATCGTAAGTTGTTGTGTTTATTTAGATTGCACATGCCAGACTAGCGAAAGTTGTTAGTGAGATTATACACCCTAGTCTACCGTAAGTTGTTATTGGTGTGATATACAAGCTAAGCTATCGTAAGTTGTTGTTGGTGAGATTATAGACCTCAGACTCCAAGATTTAATATTTTTGTTGATAAGAGTATAGAGGTCTAACTGCTGTATTGTGTTGCTGAGAGTATAGAAGCTTTGTTAGACACTTACGGCTTGAGAAAGCTGTATCACATGTATCCGTTTATCTAACATATTGTCTGTAATTCTATTATTATATTTTATCTTCTTTTCCCATGTACTATCCATATATTAGCACTTTTAATTCCCGCAAGGGATCTGGCAGGTCAGGAAGTAAGAGGGAAACAAGTAACTTACTGCAGTAAAATATCACTAGTCGTAGTTCTCAAACAAAGAATAACTTCAATTACTCTTTACGAGAATTACTGTTATAGTAAAAATTGTGAAGAGATAATAAAAGAGAAGGAAGGGTGTTAATGTTGCAGTTTTATAAATGTAGTGTAAGCGCACCTCTGGCAAGGCAGTGATGGAGTGAATGATGAAAGTTTTTCTTTTTCGGGCCACCCTGCCTTGGTGGGAGACGGCCGATGTGTTAATAAAATAAAAAAATGAAATAGAAGAGTAAGCTTAAAGTTTAAAATAAACGACCTACAAGCTAATCCAGCTCTAACCTAACCTATCCTAACATAATTTAACCTAACCTATCTTATTCCACCGTAAAGTTGACTATCCTAACTCATCTCAGATAAATAAGACATAAGAACATAAGAAAGAAGGAACACTGCAACAGGCCCACTGACCCACGCGGAGCAGGTCCATGTCCCCCCCCCCCGGATTAGACCAATGACCCACCCCGCGGATTATCCCAATGACCCACCCAGTCTGGTCATTTCCATTCAAGGATGGAGCACTGTACCAGACCCAGCAGCAAAGCTAGTCAGGTCCAACCCACACCCACTCATGTATTTATCTAACCTATTTTTAAAACTACACAACATTTTAGCCTCAAAAACTGTACTCGGGAGCTTGTTCCACTCATCCACAACTCTATTACCAAACCAGTGCTTTCCTATATCCTTCCTGAATCTGAATTTTTCAAACTTGAAACCATTGCTGCGAGTCCTGTCTTGGCTGGAAATTTTCAGCACCCTATTTACATCCTCTTTATTTATTCCTGTTTTCCATTTATACACCTCGATCATATCCTCCCTAATTCTATGCCTTTCGAGAGAGTGCAGATTCAGGGCCCTCAGTCTATCCTCATAGGGATGATTTATGATACATGGGATCATCTTTGTCATCCTCCTTTGCACGTTTTCCAGAGCATTTGTTTCCATTCTGTAATACGGTGACCAGAACTGAGCAGCATAGTCTAAATGAGGCCTAACCAAGGATATATAGAGTTGAAGAACAACCTGAGGACTTCTATTATTTATACTTCTAGATATGAAGCCAAGAATTCTGTTAGCTTTATTGCGAACACTAATGCACTGTTGTCTTGATTTTAGATTACTGCTAACCAGAACTCCTAAATCCTTTTCGCAATCGGTAGTATTAAGATCTACATTATTTAGTTTATATGTGGCATGGTTATTTAACTGTCCAACATTTAGAACTTTGCATTTGTCAATATAAACTGCATCTGCCACTTCTCCGACCATTGCGTCAGTCTATTCAAATCATCCTGGAGTGCTCTAATGTCCTCATTAGAATGAATTGGACGGCCTGTTTTGGTGTCATCAGCAAATTTGATGTCGCTATTTATTCCCTCATCTATGTCGTTTATGTAAATTGTGAACAACAACGAGCCCAGCACTGACCCCTGAGGAACACCGCTTGTGACGTGCCCCCATTCTGATTTCTCCCCATTTATGCAAACTCTCTGCTGCCTATTTGTCAGCCATGCCTCTACCCAGAAAAAAATTTCTTCTCCTATTCCGTGTGCCTTAAGTTTCCTCAATAGCCTCTGGTGTGGAACTCTATCGAAAGCCTTACTGAAGTCCATATACACAATATCATATTCATTACCATGATCTACCTCCTCAAACACCTTAGTGAAAAAAGTTAATAAATTCGTAAGACAGAACGCCCCTTTGTAAAACCGTGTTGAGAATCATTAATCAATCTTTGCCTGTCAAGATGGCTACGAACTGCTTCGGCAATTATTGATTCCATAAATTTTCCCACTATGGAGGTAAGGCTTATTGGTCTATAGTTCGAAGCCAAGGACCTGTCACCTGCCTTGTAAATAGGTATTACATTTGCCATTTTCCCCTTATCAGGCACTATGCCAGATTGTAGTGCAATAGTTGTGTATTTTTATTGCTGAACCGTTTCGCCTATTCAGTCGGCTTCTTCAGTCGATAACATAATGACTAAATATGGAGATATCAGAAGCAGTGGTGAGGTACTGATGTAATCAGCCCATCAACCTTGCAGTAGTTTTTGAGATAGTCATTCCTTCTGATGCATCGACTTTACATTGTTCAGGATTGTGGAGCTGAATTCTCCAGGATGAGGAACTAACCACCTCAAACACTACTACTACACGGCTAATGGACTGATCACATCATCTTTCCCTCGCCACTGTTTATGCTGGCTTCATATTTAGTAACCTCTGTATTCGACTGAAGAAGTCAATTAAGTAAGCGAAACGTTCCAGCAGTAAAGATACCCACCTGTTTTGCTCATATACTTGACGGTATAGTTAAAAAATTTCCATAATGAACCATTTTTAACCTAACATATTCTAACCTAGTCTAACCTAATCCTAATCTAGCCTAACCTCACTTAGCCAATGCTATATTAGCTAAACTTTTTCTAATATTACCTAGCATAATGTAGGGTAGTCTAATGTAACCTAAATTAGCCTGAGGAAAGGTAGACTAATCTAGCTTAACCTAATCCCACAGACTAATATAATTTAATTTGTCCTAACGTCACTTTTTATCCTAATATCACTTATTAGTTGTAGCTACAGTGAGAGTAAAAGGTAGATGGAGTACAAGGAAAATGGAAGCAGCAAGTAAGAGAGAGAGGTGAAGATTTATAAGCTAAAGGCAGAGGCAGTTAGGGTAAGATCTAAACAACTATTGGAGGATAGATAGGCTAGTGAGAAAATAGGCAATGGGGGTTGAAGATGTATGGGATAAGTCTAAGAATGTAGTGTTAGTGTTCAGCAGAAGTTTGTCGTAACAGGAAAGTGGGTGAGGGAAGGAAGAGCGATTGGTGGAATGATGATGTAAAGAGAGTAGTAAAAGAGGAAAAGTTAGCATATGAGAGGTTTTTAGAAAGTAGAAGTGATGCAAGGAGGGATGGGTATATGGAGAGAAAAAGAGAGGTTAAGAGACTGGTGAAGCAATGTATAGAGAGAGTTAGTGCGATGTTATCAACAAATTTTGTCGAAAATAAGAAAAAGTTTTGGAGTGAGATTAATAAGTTGAGGAAGCCTAGGGAGCAAATAGATTTAATAGTAAAAATATAGGAGAGGAGATGCATTAAATGGAGAGAGGTATCGGGAAGATGGAGGGAATATTTTGAGGAATTGATAAATGTTGATGAAGATAAGGAAGCTGTGATTTCGTGTATAGAGCAAGGAGGAATAGCATATTGCTGGAGTGAGGAAGAGCCAGTTTTGAGTGTGGGGGAAGTTCGTGAGGCAGTGGGTAGAATGCAAGGGGTAAGGCAGCTAGGATTGATGAGATAAAGATAGAAAAGCTAAAAGCAGGCGAGGATATAGTTTTAGAGTGGTTGGTGCTTTTATTTAATAAATGTATGGAAGAGGGTAAGGTACCTAGGGATTAGCAGAGACAATGCATAGTTCCTTTGTTTAAAGGCAAAGGGGACAGAAGAGTGCAAAAATTATAGGGGAATAAGCCTGTTGAGTATACCTGGTAAAGTGTGTGGTAGTTATTATGGAAGGAATTAAGAGTAAGACGGAAAGTAGGATAGCAGATGGTCATGGAGTCTTTGGAAGGATAGGGGGTGTGTAGACCAAGTGTTTACAGTGAAACATATAAGTGAACAGTATTCAGATATGGGTAGAGATGTTTTTGTGGCATTTAAGGATTTGGAAAAGGCATGTGACAAGGTGGATAGGGGATAATGTGGCAGATGTTGCAAATGTGTGGAATAGGACGTAGGTTACTGAAAGCAGTGAAAAGTTTTTACGAGAATAGTGAGGTTCAGGTTAGAGTATGTAGGAGAGAGGGGGATTATTTCCCAGTAAAAGTAGGCCTTAGACAAGAATGTGTGATGTCACCATGGTTGTTCAATATATTTATAGATGGGGTTTTAAGAGAAGTGAATGCTCGGATGTTGGCAAGAGGTGTGGGGTTAAAAAACAAAGAATTTAACACAAAATGGGATTTGTCATAGTTGCTCTTTGCTGATGACACTGTGCTTTTGGGAGATTCTGAAGAGAAGTTGCGGAGTTTGGTGGAAGAGTTTGGAAGGGTATGTAAAAGAATTAAATCAAAAGTGAATATAGGAAAGATTAAGTTAATGAGGATAAAAAAAAAAGTGTAACAAAAGATTGAATATCAGATTGGAGGGAGAGAGTATGGAGGTGGTGAATGTATTCAGATATTTAGGAGTGGATGCGTCAGCAGATGGGTCTTTGAAATATGAGGTGAATCATAGAACTGATGAGGAGAAAACGATGAGTGGTGCACTTGAGTCTGTGGAGACAAAAAAACGTTGTCCATATGGGTGCGAAGCATGGGTGGTGTATGTTGCAACAAGAAGGCTGGAGGCAGTAGAGATGTCGTGTATGAGGGCAGTGTGTGGTGTGAATATAATGCAGAGAATTCATAGTTCGGAAATTAGAAGGAGGTGCGAGATTACCATAACTGTTATGCAGAGGGCTGAGGAAGGGTTGTTGAGGTGGTTCAGACATATAGAGAGGAAGGAACAAAATAGAATGACTGAGAGAGTGCATAAATCTGTAATGGAGGGAAAGATGGGGGGTAGAAGTCAGCCTAAGAAAGGATGGAGGGAGGGGGTTTTGTGTGCAAGGGGCTTGGACTTCCAGGAAGCATGCGTGAGCTCGTTAGATAGAAGCGAATGAAGACAAATGAGTTTTAGAACTTGACATGCTGTTGGAATGTAAGTATGGTAATATTTATGAAGGGCTTCAGGGAAACCGGCAGGCTGGACTTGAGTCCTGGAGGTGAGAAGTACAGTGTCTGCACTCTGAAGGAGGGGTTTTAATGTTGCAGTTTTATAAATTGTAGCGTAAGCGCACCTCTGTCAAGACAGTGATAAAGTGAATGATGGTGAAAGTTTTTCTTTTTCAGGCCACCCTACCTTGGTGGGAGACGGCCGATGTGTTAATAATAAATAAAAAATAGCATAACCTATCCTAGTCTAACGTAATTTAACCAAAAATAGACTTAATCTGGCCTAGCCTGACATGAGCAAAAGTAATGTAACCTAATCTAAGTTAAGTGTCCCATAGCTCGATGGCTAGTGCACTCAGCTCACACAGTGAGGCCGGGGTTCGATTACCTGTAAGGGTGGAAACATTAGGACGTGTCTCCTTAGGATATTTGCTGTTTCTGTTCACCTATCAGTTGAATAGGTATCTGGGTGTTAGTCGACTGGTGTGGGTCGCATCCTGGAAAAATACTGGCATAATTTGCCCGAAATGCTCTGCATAACAAGCGGCTTTCTATATAGTATTATGTCATTGATGTCAGCAAGACCTGTATACCTTGTACATGTACTTGAAGAAATAAAGATTATTATTATCTAAAATAACATTATTATCTAGCCTAATCTATCCTAAAGTGCAGTAACGTGCCCCAACTTAACGTAATGTAATTTAAAGTCACGTAACGTAAAATATCCCAACCTATCCTTAACTAATCTAGTGAAACCTTAGCCTTATGTGACCTGACCTGACCTCGCCTCACCTGATCTAACCTAATCAACTCTAACTTGTCGTGCCCATGTTTTTTAAATT